ACAGACACACAACCAAAGAGTTCCCTGCACCTCATGACAGCAAAGGCTTCGCTAACGCTCAGCCAATTATTTTAAGGAGGCAAAGTTTAAAAATAATAAAAAGTTAGGCAACAACGTTTAATTTTCTGTCTCTTCTCGGTCGCCGCTCGTCCGCACGTACTAACTTTGAAGTAGTTTGATGCGCGGTACGCTCGGTGGTAGTGTTCCCCCGTCTCGTGCCGAGCCGCGGCAGGGTAGGCGGTGTGCCCGTCGTCGCGTCGCCTCCCTTTACACGCGTCGCGCAGGAGAACAGCAAAGTGCATTCAAGTGTATTTTTATCGCTAACGGCGAGGTTGTACGTGGGTTAGTTACGGTGCCTGCCCGGCCCCCGGCGGCGGCACGGCAGTGGGAGGGATGCAAGCGCCATCATCCATGAAATGGCGCGCTGGCTGGCGGGGCCGACGTCGTCACACCTCTTTCCCATTCCCGCCGGCTGCGAGGCCTGGCGGGGGGCTCGCGTTGCTACTACCCCTCCTGTACCCGACGCGCCTACCTCGTATGTGCGCCGTGAGAGGGAAGGGGTTGCGGAAAAAAGTGTGGGCAGTATTGGGCAGACAGGCATGTCCGTAAGCCTCTTAGAGAGGACACCAAAGGGCAAAGTTCTGACCTTGAGCGTGTGTGTGTCTTTTTGTGAACAGGCTCGCGCTCCAACGGCGCGGTCCTGGTGACGCCACTGAGCTTCAAGCCCGAGGACAGCCTCGGCCACGGCCTGGGCCACGGCCTCGGCATCGTGCCGCCCGGTGGGCCCAAGCCGCTCGTTCTCTCGGGCCAGGACGCGTCGCTGTGGATCGAGAAGAGGCTCGCCGACCAGGTCGGGCCGCACGCCCCCGGCTGGCGGCTCTCGGACGTGTCGTCGGTCGCCCCCCTCGGCGCCGGCCTCGGCCCCGCCCTGGGCGCGCCCGGCGCCTCGCAGCAGGCCAACCTGCCCGACTACTCGGAGGTCGTGAGGCTCATGGCCGGCGACGGCCACCCGCAGCCCAACAGGACAGGTGAGACACCGGGCCAGTTGGGCTTGACGAGGTGCTCCAGGAAACAGAGATCGAGAGGTCACGACCTCGTCGGTTGATTCGTCGCATATGGCATGAACCCATTTCCTCACATCTCATAATGTGTCTTCTTTTGATCCGCCCTCAGACTGCACCTCGGCGATGCCGGACTACGCCGAGGTGAACGCCAGCCCGTACGCCATGACGTCCTTCCACGGCTCTTGTCGCGGCTACGACGGCAGCGGCGGCAGCTGCAGCGGCGGCAGTGGCAGCTGCAACAGCGGCAGCAGCGGCGGTGGCGGCGGCGGCGGTGCAGACTGCGGCGCGGCGCACACCAGCTCCAGCTCGGCCAGCGACGCGGCCTCGGCGGCGCCCTACGCGTCCACCACCCTCATGGTGCGCGCGAGGCCCAGCGGGCCCGGCGGGCCTGGCGGCAGCAACATGGTGAGTGCGGCAGTTATGATCGCCGGACGCGTCCACCAACCTCATGGTGTAGTAGCGTAGCGATAGCGGGAGCAACTTCTTTTGGAGGGCTTAATTTTTAAATCGGTACGCCGTGTCGTTGGCACAAAGTGGGTGAGGGCGGCGGCGGTGTCTTCAGGTGTGCCAAGCTCTGCCCCCCCCCCCCTTTCCCCTCAGCCACGCTAAGTGCGAGGTTGTTCCGAATTAACCGACCCATTCAGTATTCACCCCCGGGGGGCGGGACGGGACGGCCGGGTTCTTTCTAATCGGTTACCCGATTGGCACGCCGCGCCCCGGGCCGGGCGGCCTGTGCACTGCCCGCCCTGAACACCGCTGGAAGGGCGTCGTTGTTAATTTTAATTAGCTCCAACCCACCCGGGCCCGGGCCGGGGCATGGCCGCCGGGACGGGCCCGTCTCCGCGCAGCGCTAACGCCGATTGTCTGCCCTTTTGTTTCCACAGAGTTGGGATTACGCTATCTCGAGACAACAACCTCAGCAGCAACAGCAGCAGCAACAACAGCAGCAGCAGCAACAGCAGCAGGCTGATCAGGCGGGCTACGGCGGCTCCTGCTGCCTCCAGGGGGAGGCCTGTTACTCGGAGAGCTGCTACGGCAACAACGAGTACGAAGAGTGCAGAGGTGAGTCTGCCGTCCCTTTCTTTCTTTCTTACCCTCCCCCCTCGCCTCTCTTTATGTTTTTCTTTCCCTTTCTCTCACCCTTTGTGCGCGCGGCTCCTCCCCTCCTCTCCTTCTCCTCCTTCAGCTATCGCGTGTGGGTGTGCGAGGAGCGAGGAGTCTCTGTCTCTCTCTCTGTCTCTTCTATCTCCATTTTCCCTCTCTCTCCCTCCTGGTAGCCTGACCTCATCTCTCCCCACCCCACCTCTCTCCACCCTTCTCCCTCACTATACCCATGTTTCTCTCTCTCCCTCTCTCTCCCTCCACCTCCTCCTCTCTCTCTCTCTCCCTCTGTACCTAGGTACACTGAATAGCCCCCCCCCCCTCCCGGAGAGATGAATGACGACTGACAGTTCGGCGGCGCCACGGCGGTGCGCTCCGCTCGGCCACGCCGCCGCTCTAACGATGGGAACGGCGCGGCCGCGGCGCCGCTCGGCTCTGCTCCGAGGACCACTTGTTGACGTGATCTAATCAGCCGCTGTGCGAGAAGTACCCTCTCTGCCCCCTGCTCTGCCCCTCCGGCCCGCCATTGTTGTATCTCTGCTCCTCGGACGGGGCTCGGGCTCGTGGGGCGACCATCGTAGGGGTTTACATCTGAGCGCCGATGGGGCGCGTAACTGTACCGGGGCACGCGAAATGCCGGCGGCGGGGCGCGGC